CCTCCCTCTTTCTTTCTTTCTTTCTTTCTTTCTTTCTTTCTTTCTTTCTTTCTTTCTTTCTTTCTTTCTTTCTTTCTTTCTTTCTTTCTTTCTTTCTCTTCTTCTGAGATAGGTCTCACTATGCAGTCCAAGTTAGATTGTCTTCTAACTTGCAGCGATCCTTTTGCTTCACCTTCCCCATTGCTGAGATTACAAACATGTACCTAGATTTTATCTCTGCTCTTAACATCCATATTTGGTGTATATTTTTAACATAATTTTACAATGGACAAGTACATTAATATATGAAACAACCTATTCTATAAATATATTTATTTATTTTATGCTTTATTTTATCTTTAATGGTGTATATGCGTGTGGGTATGTGCATGTGAGTGCAATGCACATAGTGACCAGAGGCATGGGGTGCCCCCGAGGCTACAGTTACAGGTGGTTCTGAGCCACTACTATGGATGCTACGATGCAAACTCAGGTCCTCTAGAAAAGAAGTACATGCTTTTAAATACTGAAACTTTTCTCTAGTCCTAATATATTTATAATGTGAGAGGTAGGTTCATTTATAATAACATTCCATAAATTGCAAAGGAAGCCCATTTCACCCATTTTCAAATTATGCACTTAGTGAAAGTGATCAGGGCTCAGAAAATATTGAAGCTATGGTATTTCTCATAGGCATTTGTTTTAAATTAATTTTGTTCTGATTAAGTCTTGATTAAAAGTCTGTAAGATAAAAAATTAATGCTTCTAATCTTCAATAAAGAAAATCAAGGTAAAGTAAGCCTATAGCCCAAAGTCTTCCAGTGAGTGAGTGACAGGGGTAAGAGGAAGCCTGAATCTGCCTGGCCAAGCATAGAAGTGCCCACACTCTTCAAGCTTGCTCACCTCTTTCTCAGGTGCACATTGATACCTGTTTCTATACCTGATTTTCTGCCTGTCTGTTGATTTATGTGCACCATTTGGAAAAAAAATGTTTTTAGATAAATGACAAGCATACTTTAGTGTCCATCACCTTTGAGTGATGAGTCCTTTTGGTGCCAGTTGGAGGAACCTATATATATATCACAAGACTAAATTGACTATTTCCCTGAAACTTACTCTGCTTATTAAATCAGAATACACAGCAAAGGAAAAACTTTACTTCACAGGTTGGGGATTAATTGAGAAGAATGTCAGGGAGTTGAACATAAAAGCAGCCAGTACTTCTTGGAGATTTGTATAATTTATGAACAAATGATGCTATTTAAATGATGTAATTGGTGATTGAAGGTGAAGGATTTTGAGCTTGGCACCAATGTTTTCATTTTCTATGATTTGAGTATGCTTCTCACTCAAATTCAAATGTTGCCATCCTATATCTGATGCTCAGTATCTAAGAATGTGACCTTATGTGGAAACAGGGTTATTGTAGATATAATTAGTTAAGATGAGGTCATTAGGGTGGCCTGTAATTTAATGTGACTTGCATACTTATAAGAAAGGGAGGTAATTTGAGCTCAGAATCATGCACAGAAAGAGTAAAATGTGGTGGGACACAGAAGATAGACATTAAGAATCAAAGTGAGAGTCCTCCAATAAATCCTTAACCGCAGACTGCAGAAGAAGCCAGCTCTGTGCTTCCTTAACTATGATTTCTGACCTGTGAAACTGTAAGAATGTGCCAGTTTTTGCCAAAATGACCCACTTTGGGGTTGTTTTTCTTATTTTTAATTAAAAATTATTTTATATGAATGGATGTTTTGTCAGCATATATGGTTATGCACCACATGTGTGCCTGGTGCTTGCAGAGGCCAGAAAATGGTATTGGATACCCTGGACCTGGAGGTGCAGATGGTTGTGAACAGCCATGTGGGTGCTGGGAAGCTTCCCATGATTTTAAGTGCAGACTCATCTCTTTATGCCATATGGTAATTTTGTACTGGTGCCCCAGAAAACTAGTGCAGTAGCTGTTAGAAGTTAAACTGCTCAATCCCATTGATCTAGACCTCATACCTGTACCAGGGTTGTCCAGCTATTCTAGCCAGGAAAAACCCCAGGCAGTAGCCAGCTATAGGAAATATCGTTCCTACAATCCATAGTTTAGGTTCAATGATCCAGGCACTTTGGTACAGTATTCCTCCAACCACAGCAATGAGAACAATAAGAATTGCACCCGCGATGGATCCAATCTGGAAGAAAAGGCATAAGTGAACATACTTGTGTCAAAGTGAGTCCAGAGACATTTGTCAGGAGTGAAGGTTGGGCAGACTGTTCCTTTGGGGAAGTGAATATGAGTTTTCTATGTCCCTTTAGCTTTGTGGGAAGGAAAGAACTTCTGTGTTCTAGAGACCAAGGAAACATCAGGATAATGTTTTCATGCTTAAATGCACAAGGAAGATTTCTGAGCTTGCAAAACATAAAATCTTGCCCAAGTTACATTTTATGTTTGTTGTAATCATAAGAAATGGATACAAGGGTTCATAAAAGTCAAATAAAAATAAACATAAGCCATGGTCATAATTTTTTCCTTTTCAGAAAGGTTCAATTTTATTACATATATGTCCATGTGTACATATATGCACATGAGTTTTGGTGCCCACGGAGTCCAGAAGAGGTCCTTGGATCCCCTGGCGCTGGGGTTGCAGGTAGTTTTGAACAGCCTGCTGTGGGGGTTCTCTGTAGGAGCAGTTCACATTCTCAATGGCTGAGCCATCTCCCCAGATCTATTTTCTTCTTCTCTGATTACATTTTAAAACATTTGGAGATGACCGTTTTTCTTTTTTCCCTATAAAAGAAGAAATGCCAACTACCTTTTTCCCCCACATCCTACAGGTTAGTGTCTACCAGTTTGGGGGCACTGAGTTCTAGTTATGAGAAAGATATGGTAGGTATGAACAATATGTTCTAGATATGAGAAAGATATGCTGTACCTTCTCAGAAAGATGCCTAGATATATTTTATACCATAAGCTCAGCCTATATAACAGCGAGGTCATTTGAAAACAGAGTAAAACAAATAGGTGACACTTGAATTGGTACCCTAAAGGATGGATGGAAATTTGTCCCTCAGATGGGATCAAAAAGGACATTCTCTAATGGGGGACTTTAGGACTTATAATGGCAAGTCTTCCAGAGGGTAATAGCACCATATAGGAGTTGGAAAAACCATCTCATTCCAGTTCAGACTGCAGGGCACTGAGTTGGGCAGTCTGTCCCATGATTGGGATACTTACTTTAAGTATGATCTTTGCTTTTTGGGGCCATTTGTGATTCACATACATTCCAATGGAAACAGGAATAACAAGAGCAACCAGAGAAGTGCCTAACAATGATGAAAACAACATTAACACAAAGAAAAGAAAATGTAAGTAGCCTATAAATGGCTTAGCAGTGTTCTGTCTGTCTTCTTGAATACTGAAAATAGAATGTAGAATTATGTGCACACAGATACACACATACACACACACAAATTCACACATCCACATATGTATTTTATACACCCCCCTCTCCATTCCAGTTAATAACAGGTAGAGAAATAATGATGATATAAATAACTTATCTCAATCCAGGGATGACGATTTTAGGGTTTCTTATATTACCAACCTACTTTCTATTTGGCAACATTTTTGCTTCTTTAGTCTATTAGGTCATTATATTTTTAGAAAAAATACCTCCCCATAGTTTGTGTGTGTGTGTGTGTGTGTGTGTGTGTGTGTGTTTGTAGTGTAGGTAGGTATATTCTACACTGGCCTGTTACTTCATAGTGGTAAAAATAAACATTTATAAATTTTAAAGTGGAAAAATATTAAAAAATTGCTTAATGTCCATAGGAATTTTGAAGGCTAACAAACTCTACTTAAAATTCATTTCATTTATTCAAATTTATGACAGATATGAGAGAATAAGATGAAAAACCATGCCCTAAATTTTCTGTGAGATAATATATCTGGCAACTTCTCATGTAATTATAATTCTTTGCAGCACTGTGTTCACCCAACCAGATAAAAGAGTCATACTTCAACTTCACCATGGGAAATTTACTGCCATTCCTGTGACATATGATTTGTGTCTCTATATTATTTAACACTTGTTTGCCCAATAGTTGCTTTGTTTAACACAGCACTGCAGACTTCCAACTTCTCATGGACTGTTTTTTTGTCAAAACTCCTTTAAAGTAGTATGAGAAAGTGAAACCAAATGGTGAAATTTTGAGAGTAGATGCCTGCCTGGTGTTGGATAGATTGACTCAGGTCTGGCCAACAAACTATAGACTGAAAGCCTACACACACACACACACACACACACACACACACACACACACACACATTTAAAATGAATCTAATACAAATTCTTCAATATATCAAAAATTATTGTTCCTCCAAAATTACTCAGCAGAATTAAAATAAAAACTATGAAAGATAGGAGAAAAGAAAGAAAAAAGAAGGAAAGGAAGGACAATAAGACAAGAACTACTCAAAATCAGGAGAAAAGGGTAGAGGAAGAGCTGTGGAAAAACGTGTTAGATTTATTGGTCAGGTCTTCGAGAAAGTCCCTTAGTTATTCCTGTATCTACCATTTTAAAGATATTTCCTTCTTGGATCTCTAGGCCACACCATAAATTTTATTAAGTTTCCAGGCTTTGAGTTAAAATTATCCAGATACAACTGGTTGGCTCCTTTGGCCTAGAGCCCTCCCATCCTGGGGGAGCCTAAGGTGGCAGGACTACATGAATAGGGCTTTGGAATACCCATGACAGAAGCAACTACTCTCTGGGCCAGGAAAAGCCAATGAAGGTTTGCAGTGACTTCAAGGACCATTCTGGTTCTTCTTCACACCCACCAGTATGGCTGGCCCCTGCCCATAGTGGGAAGGTGCTGTAATGCTTACTCTCCAGTGGCTGGAGAACTGGCTCTCTCCTCTCTAGACTTCTCCATTTACTGATAGATTGTTCATGCTATCTGTGTAAGATGCCTGTTTGTAAGATCCAAAAAAATGTTTACATATATCAAAACCATCATGTGTTATTTATTTAAGACTACACAATGGTACTAGGATGAAAGAAAGGGGAGGAGAAGAGGAAGAAAGAAAGGATGATACTGTGGACTGAGCTGTAGCTTCCGTAGGTTTCCCTATTAAAAAAAAAAACTGAGTGGGATAATGCCTGCCTTATGGTGCTGTGGTGATATGCACAATGGTGTTGACATCAGGTGCTCACTTATGTTGGTATAGCTCCCTGACACAGTCCTCACAGTGTTGTGGTGATATGCACAATGATGTTGACATCAGGTGCTCACTTAATGTTGGTATAGCTCCCTGATACAGTCCTCATGGTGCTGTGGTGATATGCACATGATGTTGACATCAGGTGCTCACTTATGTTGGTATAGCTCCCTGACACAGTCCAGCTTTAGTGACTCAAGCTGCATAGGGGCCTCTTTTCAGCCACATGTCAGTGTCTTCAGGGCTCAGCAGCATTTTTAGAGTAGGAGAAGCACACTGGAAACATGGAAGGTGTCACAAGCACAGTGCCTGCAGAGTAGTCTGGAGAGCCTGCCAGTAGATATTCCCAGCTCCCCAGTAATCTTGAGCAAATTAAATAATTATGCCAAGCCTTAACAACCTCATTTATAAGTGATGACAACATCTCATGAGGCTGTCAGCTCATTTTTTCACTCATTAAAAGACTAGAAAACAGCCGGGCGGTGGTGGCGCACGCCTTTAATCCCAGCACTCGGGAGGCAGAGCCAGGCGGATCTCTGTGAGTTCGAGGCCAGCCTGGGCTACCAAGTGA